CTCCAGGACCTTGAAATGCTTCTTATGAAGCCACTCCTTCATTACCCGGGCGGTGTGTTTGGGATCATTGTCATGCTGAAAGATCCAGCCACGTTTCATCTTCAATGCCCTTGCTGATGGAAAGAGGTTTTCATTCAAAATCTCACGATACATGGCTCCATTCTTTCCTCTACACAGATCAGTCGTCTTGGTCCCTTTGCAGATAAACAGCCGCAAACCACCCCCATGCTTCACAGTAGGTATTGTGTTCTTTGAAAGCAACTCAGCATTATTTCTCCTCCAAACACAACAAGTAGAATTTTTACCCCAATTGTTTTGGTTTCATCTGGCTTTCTCCCAATCCTCTTCTGGATCATCCTGCGCCGGTCAGAAAAGGATCCTGCTGTAGAAAGTAATATTAAATACATTCTAACAACAGCGATCCTCTCTAGCAAACTTCAGACAGGCCTGGACAAGTACTGGCATAAGCATGGGACACGTCTGGCCTGGCGGCGTAGTGTGTTACTGATGGTAGCCTTAGTTATTTTGGTCCCAGCTCTCTGCAGGTCATTCAGTAGGTGTGTGGTTCTGAGACTTTTGCTCACCGTTCTTGTGATCATTTTGACCCCACGGGGTGAGATCTTGCGTGGAGCCCCACATTGAGGGAGATTATCAGTGGTCTTATATGTCTTCTAATTGCTCCCACAGTTGATTTCTTCACACCACGCTGCTTAACTATTGCAGATTTAGTCTTCCCAGCCTGGTGCAGGTCTACAATTTTGTTTCTGGTGTCCTTTGACAGCTCTTTGGTCTTGGCCGTAGTGGAGTGTGACTGTTTGAGGTTGTGGACAGGTGTCTTTTATACTGATAACGAGTTCAAACAGGTGCCATTAATGCAGGTAACGAGTGGAGGACAGAGGAGCATCTTACAGAAGCAGTTACAGGTCTGTGAGAGCCAGAAATCTTGCTTGTTTGTAGGTGACCAAATACTTATTTTCCACCATAACTTGCAATTAAATTCTTTAAAAATCAGACAATGTGATTTTTCTGGATTTAGTTTTTTCTCATTTTGTCTTTCATAGTTGAGGTATAGCTATGATAAAACTTACAGGCCTCTCTCATCTTTGCACAATTGGTGGCTGACTAAATACTGTACCAAGGAATAAAAACCACTGATTGTCAACTTTTTGCTTTTCCTAATCTGGTCAGCTATGTACTGTAGAAGTCACAATGATTTTGCTGCGAACTTAAACTCTTTTATTAAAACAACATTTGATTGTTTCGCAGATGGATTTTCTGTCAATACAAGCAAAACTAGTGCTGAGCAGAAAATGTCAACATCATATTTTGTTGATTGGACACAGACTGAAATGTTTGGATGGTTGCCGAGTTAGTACAAGATACAACGTTAGTTACATCATTAGCAGTAAGCAGTTACATAAAATTAATCACTGCAAACATTCCAGCCTATGGAGCATGGCTGATTTCACATCGACAGCTTTTTCAAACAAAATGGTAGAAAATGTGTGTTTCACAATAAAATAAGAAAGAAACTTTCTCCCTGAAAAGCATGAGAGCATGGTTTGCATGTTGTTTTTGCAAATCAATTATCACCCATTGGACTTATAACCAAGGTGTACAAAAGAGCTTCACGTCACCTCTAAATGTAGATGAACTACAGCAGCAGGAGACCACCCAGCGTGGTCTCCTGCTGCTGTACCTTCTTACTGCACACGTCCTTAAAGGCGGTATTTATGTGAGCCCGAAGCTGCAGACTGCTCTCACACTCCCTTTCAGACTTGTTTTAACTATGGATCTGTAGGTCAGTGAAACAGGATATCATTAATATGGTCATCCCAAGCACGCAGCTGTGGTTGTGAATGCAAAAGCGCCACGCACCTGTTGTTTAGACCATCTGATTGTAAATGACAGCCAATCAAAAGAAAGCAGGCTAAAAGGAAGAAGAGCTTTGGGTGCCTAGAAAAGCGCTATGTAAATGCAATCCATTATTATTATTATTAAGAGTTGTAGCAGATAAAGTCTAAGAACATGGAGTTGGAAATGAGCATAATAGACTTTATAGAAATGTATCAATACCTGTGAAAGGAACGTTGTTATTAGTAAAGTGTCAAATGCAATGGAAAGAAAAATACAAGATTCAAAAGAAGAAAAGTATGAGAGATTTAAAAAAAATAATAATTGTGATGTGCAGTAGGGAGTTATTAATATAAAGAATTGTGTGCAGTATATAGTGTGCTATATTAGATGTGTGGGGTCTTGCAGGAATGATTAGCTCGTGCTCTTCAGTCCTTCCTTTAAGCAGCAGAGAGTCCAGAGGGAGATTGGTATGAGGACTTACTGAGACATGTAGTAAAGACAAAAACAACAAATAATTCACTGAAACTGAGCAGTGGCAGCAGCAACAACAAATGTGGTGAGAGTGCCGTCTAACCCGGGGCCATCGGGGGAGAAGTTAGCTATTTGGGTCACTGTCACGGCCGAGCCATACATGTAATTAGACTTGGGAAACTTCTCTCTCCGCACATGGAAGTTTTTTCTGGGAAACGGGCTAGGCTGCAAACAGGAAGTTGACATCTAAATAAAGTGCCCCCTCCTGCCCCGCGCAGGAAGCTTGCTCGGCCCTTTTTAAACAGTTACACAGACGGGAACCTTCGAAAGGGAAGCTTTAAATAGGCGAAGCCGCGGCCCGGCTCGGCCCAGCTCAGCACCGCAGCGGTCTGGGCCCCGGCAGCAAGGGACCATCTTAACAGTGACTGTCGCTGCCATTTTTACCCCGGTGAGGTCAGGCCTGTCCTGGGAGTCCACTCTGGCCACCAGTGTGATAAGTCATCGGGCTTGGTAGGCTGTGGTTTACACAGTCCATACTTTGGTGTCCAAGTTAGTCCACTTTAGGTCTGCAGGGTCAGTTGAGTTTATTGACCAGTCACGTGGTCAGAAACGGGCTGTCTAAGCCTTTCATCTTTGCCGCATTTATTATTGTATGATTTTCATGTTGCACATAGTTTTAATTCACGTGCAGCATTTTTGTTTCATCGCAGTCTCCTGCTGTTTTTCCTCTTACAGACCAGCTTCATGCATCATTTTCTCTTCCTTCAGTGACATCAGGGCTCGTGGCTGAAGTTTACAGTGACTGGCATATTTCTGGTTCATGTGTGGGTCTGAGTCTGTGTTAGTTTAGATGTTGTGTCTAACCCTACATCCCCTAAGGGGCTGTTGGGATGTTTTTTTTCTCTTTTTACACGGGGTATTTTCTTTCTTCCTTCTTTTTTTTTTTTATATATATATTTTTTTGTTTGTGCTTTGGGTCCTCGCCACCCCTCCCTGTGCCCTCCATGCCACCCCTGACTAAGTCGGGGCCTGGCTGCCTCTGTGGTGGCGGTGATACCACAGCCTTAATGACAGGGCCGTGGAGCTCTGCGTCCGCCTCGCCCTGCCGCCTCACCTGCAACACACTCGCCAGTTTGCACACTGCTGCAGAAACAGCACTGACTTGTGTGTGTGTGTGTGTGTATAGTTAGAATAATGCTGCTAACACTATTACTAACTGGATGGTTTTACTGACAGTGGCCATTATGTGGATGTCTCAGCATCCTTATTTGAACACACTTGTCACGCTACTGACATGCCGCTCTCACACTTGACGAGCAGAGTGCTCCCTGGCTGAAAACTAAGTGGTGTCTCTAAAACAAGAGTGCAGCCAGTGTTGCAGCTTTGCCAAGCAGAGGAAAGTCTAAAGTGGGATTAGGTAATGTAGCGAAGAACCATCTTTTGTACACCATGCTGCTTTTTTCCTTCAGCTGGAAGCTGAGAGGCTAAATGACCAAGCTGGTTATCCAAGTGGTTCATTTTACCACCATTCAATGAGCCACGAGTGGAATTGTGTCATTTTCAAGGGTGGAGTGTGGTGGGTGGGTAATTGTTTTGAAATTGTATTGAGTTTATTGGATGTATTTAGACATAATTGCTCGACTTTAAAGGCTGATTCATGCGCTGACAAAGACAAAGTCCACTGTGGTGGATCCACTCAGATCTAAATGCGTCATTGTTTCAATGAAAGATAAAACGTAGCACACTAGAACTAACATGACACCGTCACTGTGGGAACCTCCAACTACAGCGAGCCACTTGGTGAATCTGTTTGCAGTAAGTTGACCACCAGCTTTTTTTTTCCTTTTCAATAAATGTGTTTTCTGTGTCTTTCAGATATGCAACAACTCTTTAAGTTACGCTTTGACATCCGACTCATCAGTTAATTCCACTCTCAGATGTCAAATCTTCAAACTGTTCATCCAGTTTTGAGTAATATGAATGCGTTTGAAGCAGACTTGAATCAACGTGACGTTACATATTTTTACAAGTACATCAAAATATCCTGCAAGTACATTTTTCCTTTCAAGTACTAAAATGAATACAAAAGCGCTCAAATTGCAAGTATTATAATGAATAGAACCTGCTCCTGTGAAATCCATGGTTACTTTGCATTTCTTCTGTTGGTGCTGTATGTTGTTAAAGCCTTCCATAGACAGACATGTAGCCAAAGATGAAAGCAACACATCTACAAGTCGGAATATTCTGGATAATGTCACAACATCCCACATTGACACAACAGTTGTTTTGGTTACCAAAGTGTAACAACCCTGCTTCCAGGTCTTTTCCATATAGACCTGTGATTAAAAGCTAGCGCTGCTACTGTATGATTGTTGAACATGAAGGCAAATCTTGGCCCTGCAGGCCTCCAGTTGAGAAAACAGGATCTGCTGCACTAGCTCGTGGCCTGGCCCTGTTAAGGTTGCATCACTGGGTGCATATAGCATGACTTATGTCATTTTGACCCTTTGAAACTGGCATAATTGACTTCATTTGGAGAGTGCAGCAGGAGGAAAGTTATGTGAACACACACAGCCACACAGTTCACCTCTTACAGTTCAGCTGCTGATCTCCTTTCTTTCTCTCTCTCTGTGTTGCAGGTGGAGGGGGTAGGCCTGTACTTCCGTCAGCAGCTCCTGCAGTCCCGTCATCGTGGCGCCTTCGAACTGGCTTATGTGGGCTTTGTACGCCTCACAGACATGTTGTGCAGGTGCGTATGTGTCTGTGTTCACATTCAGCATAAAGGGACTGAAAGGTGATACTGTTGGACGGCCATGGGCATTAGCTTCCATCACGACAGTGAGTGTCCCTGTGCCTTGTAATTAGCAGTAGGCAAGCACACTCAGTAATGTTCTTCAGATATAATCCACTCTAAATAAATCAAGGCTGGATAATTGGATTTATTTCTAATCTGGTGCCCTCTGGATGGCCAGCAGAAAGGCATGGGTGTGAAAGAACTGAACTGCTGGTGACAGAGAAAACCCACGCTGGCACAGGGCGAACATGCAAGCCTCTGACGATCTCATTAAAAGAAACATGCAGCTCCTTTAAAGTGGAGTCAGACTGTTAAATACCCTTTAATGGTCAAACACATTAAATCATGGACAGCATGAAAATCTTGGAGACATCTGTGATGTTTTGGGGTGTATGAGTGCCCGTCCATCCGTCCATTTTCTTTGGGTTACCTAATCAAGCCTATCCCAGCTGGTGTAGGGTGAGAGGCGGGTCACGACCCTGGACAGGTCGCCACTCTGTCACATCTGTAGCCAATTTAGAATCATCAGTTAACCTAACCCTGCTAAACTGCATGTCCCCATTTGTGCACACGGTGTGGGTAGTCTGTAGACGTGTAAAGGCACCAGGGACATGGATAGGTTTTTGAGCAAAGTACGCTGCAATCCAGACAGCGTCAGGGAAGTCTTTGCTCATTTCAGCGAAACGTTCTGCACGTAACAAAACTGCAGGAACAGATTCAGTCCCTTATGAAACAGAAAATATGATAAAGGAGGTCCTGAAGTCCTACATCAAACAAAAACATCTCAGCTTCAGCTTGCAAATTCTTGAAATGGTAACTACAACTTATAGACTGAAAGATTAATCGATCTCAGACAAAAACCGAAAAGTGAAACTCATAGCTCATAACATTTTCAAAATTTTCTTTGAAAACCAGCATTTTGCAAAACACTTCTTTGCAGTATGAGAAAAGAAAATGACAGTTTTCCTGCGCTTAAATTGCTCAGTGAAGAGCGATAGGCTGGTTTGGCCTCAGTGCCAGTGCGCTGCCAGGGCCAGCGTTAAACTTGGCTGGAGTGACACATGACGCCAAAGTCCTCATCACCTGTGCTATTCCTAGAAATAATCTCTCTATTATTCTCCCGAGGAGGAAGAAAATATTTGTTTTAATTCTAAACGACATGAAAGAATTTCTCACTTTCATGTACCTCCCAGTTTTCCTCAATGGTGGGTTGTGGAAAACGTCTTTAGCCCTGCGGCAGGTCAACAGCCGCAAAACCGTCACAGCAGTGTTGACTTTGAACCACCCAGTGCTGAGCAGTTAAAACAAAACTCACTTGTTTTGTTCTTGTGTAGAAACCAGGCGCTCTGTGCGTTGTGTAACATTTTAGCGGTCGTGTGTAGGAGTACCGGGGAGTGTGTGCGTCCTGCCGCTGGCTTGTGTGGATGCGAGTGTGTGTTTCCATGAGGGAAAGAGCAATGTGTGGATGGTATGCAGGCCGTGTGCTGGGTTATGGGGTGTTGATTGCGGGGTGCTTAACCGCAGCCTTTTGATGCTCTGCCTCGGGATCTGGCTTCGGTGTGTTCCACTGTGTTTGCACTCTTTCACTCTGTCTCTTTGTCTCTCTCTCCATTCTTCTCAGTTTTCTTTCATTCACTCTTTCCGTTTAGCTTCACTTTCTCCTTTCTGTTTCTTTTTGACTAAATTCTTTGGTTATACAAGTGAATTTCTATCTGCAGTTGTTTATAGCTGTGGTTTCCATTTTTGTGCTGAGACATGCCCCCAGCAGTGCTGTCAGATGAACTCATTTACCCCTTAATCAACACCACCGTTCGTGCAAAAGGCACAAATAAACGAGTCCCATAAAAAGCTGTGTTTGTAACAGAAGTGGAGAAACTTAATGTTGTTCTACTAATAACAGCGTAATTTTGCGGTAAAACAAATATAGTTAATGTCAGTTCATGTCGAACGTCATGTCTTAATAGTCATGTCTTTCAGTAGCTTTCTTTCCAAGCTCCTCAGACAGTCTTGAGACCATCTCTCATAATAATATTTGCAGCCCTTTATTGAAGGGCCATATAGATGCATGGAAATACAGTATATAAGGCAAAAACACAGTTATAACAAGCTTGGCATACCTGAACTCTCTTAGGCAAACTTTCTTGTCATTTCTGTAAGAAGTCTTCAGGAGTAGTGCTGCAGGCTTTTTGAAGGACATCCAAAGCTCTTCTTTGGACGTTGGCTGCCCTTTGGCCCATTCTCTGTAAAGATGGTCCCACACATGTTGAGGGGAGAGGCCAGTGCTTAATTGGTTTTGGTTGTTGGTGTGTTTGGTGTGTTTGTTTGGGATCACTGTCACTGAAATTGAAAGGTGGAAGAAAGTTTTCTTCTCTGATGAGAAAAAATGTAACCTTATTGGTCCTGATGGTTTCCAACGTTGCTGACACGACAAGCAAATCCCACCCGAGATTTTTCTACGCGTCACAGTGGAGGCGGCGCCACAATGGTCTGGGGTGCTTTTTCCTTCAGGAGGTGCAGGGGCGTCAAACGGCCACTGGCTCTGTCCAGATGTTGCAGAGAGCGTCCCTCGTGATTTATTATATGATTTATTTATTTTTTTTGCCATTTGTCACGTTGTCTTAAACTTTTGATTGGGAATGTATTTCTCACTTATACAATTTTATTGCACCAATTTTATTTTGCATTTGAGCTATTTATCTATTACTGACAAAGCCACTCACGCTAACACTTGTGACCATTTTCCTCCTTTTAGCTGTTTTCACCATTAACATTTTTTGAGATATTATTGGAACATTTATTCATTGCTTTTTTACTTTGTCAATAATTTAGCCAACTTTTCACCAGTGTGTATTTTGAGTTATATATATTTTAACATTTATTCAAAACCTTGTACTTTAACTGTTTATTGATTATTTGCAGCTACCTGCTTTTAAAAAGAAAGTATCTGTTAGCTTGCTGGCTCAGCTAGCCGGTTATTTTAGGAAACTGTTTCAGTGTCTGTGTTCACTCTTATTTGCAACAAGTGCTGTGTACTGCTCTGTTCAACATGTGGCTGTTTTTATGCATATTTTTTATATTGAGTACTTTAATACCAGCAGTATACTGGGAAGGAACATCTGGATACAAGTACTCTGAAAGAGAAAACTGGATTTCAGTACGCATTCACTGCATGATGATGTTTGTGCCCTCACTGTGAGGCTGGATTATGCATCAGTACTACATCTTTACTCTTTCCCACAAATGTCATTGTTTTAATTTGCCCACTCTGCTTATTTGGCTTTTGTCAAACAGCTGTTTGTTACAGAAGTAACAGATCAGTGTGTGTCCACCAGAGCTGCTTCATAGATGATCCGTTTGAAACAAAATCCCCAAAACCTACTGTGGGGTCTGTCTGATTGTCAGCGGGGTTTTTAACATGCGAGCATGTATCCAGGTTTGATGAGAGTGGCCTGTTTTGGTTTTGTGTATATGGAAAATGATGAGTATGACTTTACTCATGTGTGGACTACAGTGCACAGGGAAACTTAAAAGATTTCAGTCTTTGTTGCTTACGTCCATGCCATTGTTTTGTGTGTGTTTGTGTATAAGGAGTGGAAGTGAGGCCCTGCAGCAGCTTCCTGCTCGCTGGCTTTCTGAGGTTCTGGAAGAGGTCAAATCCAGCGACCCATCATCTAAGCTGTGCGCCACGCGACGAAGCGCTGGAATACCTTTCTACATCCAGGTGTGTAAGCAATATTTTTAAAGATATAAACAGAACAAATGGGCTAAAAGATGATGCAAAGGATGCTTGTAAGGTTTCAGATTTGTTGCTGGACTTGCTATTGACTCTAAGTGTTGGCAAGAGCCTAATGTTTAAATTTCCGACACTTCAGAAACCACAGGCTTGTCAGGAAACATCACATTCCTGTGACTTGGCTGCTGCAGAGTGTGCGGTAGAGTGGTGGTCATGTTGGTGGTCACACCAATTTCTTCATGAGTATAACTCTCAGGACACAGTGACCCTTTGTTGCAGCTGATTGCTTCATCTGATAAAACGTCCAGATTTAAAAAAAAAAAAAAATTTATTTTGCAAATAGAAATGTGTCACTGCCAACTGCAGCGGTCATCCCGAAGACGAAACGAGGACCATAAGCAGTAACCATTTGGTCAAAATTAGGGTTTGCAATAGAAACCTTGTGTGTTTTTGTTCCTGTTTACTCCCAAAAGTAGCGCAATAAGCAGTTCTTGGCATACCGGTGAAGCACTCGTGCTGGAAGAACACTCCGTTTCCTAATCTAGCCATCTTTTTTTTCCCCTCACGTACCACACACACACACACACACACACACACACACACACACGCGCGCGCACGCACTCTCTCTCTCTCTCTCTCTCTCTCTTGTCCCTCCCATCAGTAGTCCCACAAATTACTAACACTGTGTTAGTCTCTGACTCTTATTTAGTCTCAGCTCGCGTCTTCACTTCCTTTGATTCCTAATATCGAAACTAGACGTGACTGCGGGGATGTTATCAGCAGTCATTTTGAAGCGGCTTACTCTTCTTTTGTGGTTTTGGTCAGACAGCCGCGTCGGTGATGTCACTGACTCTCTTGTTTTCGTGTGTGTGAGGCACGTGCGCCTCGTAGCTTGATTGAACGGGATGCTTCACATTAGTCTTAGATTAATTTCAGTGTTTCAAAAGTCTTAACCGACTTTCTGAAATTGACTTTTAAGGGCTCTGACGTCTTCCTGATCCTGTTTCTTTTCTTTTTGTTTTTTAAGACTTTCTAAACATTATCTGTGATGAATAGTAGCATAACAGAAGAGCTTTAACAGGACAGAGCCTGACAAGTAGGCTGGGTGATTAAAACTGAGGATGAAGAGAGACGGAGAAGATAAGATGAAGGTGAATGAAGCAGAGGAAGTCTGGGAAGAAGAAGTTGCCACTTTGGCAGAACTCCAGACCACATTCCTAGACAGACATGGAGTCAGATCCGGGAAGGCTGGCTCATGCTGGTCCTGACTAGTTCATAGGAACCAGGCTAGCCCTCCTTTTCCTCTTGGCTTCCTCTGCTTCTAACCTCAGAGTTCATAAGAGCCAGATATGCCCCACCCCCACCCTCTCCATCTTATCCTTCAAGGTCTAAGTCTTTACCATAAGCCAGGTAGGTCAGACACATCTGGCTCGCATCAGCTCCAGCAGAGATGACTTCTTTCTCACACAACAAAGTGCCGTCACCTCCACACACACTCCTGCATTCCCATCTCCCACTCTGAGCTCATACAAATGATCTCGTTCAGTCAGCCTGTCAGAACAGACTAACTTATGGGATTTTATGAATGTATTTTTTGTTATTACCATATAAATGTGGCTCAGTTTAGCGGGCCACGATAAAACCGTGAAGCATAGACTATTTAGTAGATGGATGCAGTAGCTGCAAAGGGGCTATTTGCAGTGTACCAGCACTCCCACAGGATATCACACCTGATGTCATCATGTGATTGGTTCTTGAAAAGGCTCATCAGTAAAAACAGAAAATCATTATGGGCGAGGTCTTTAAAATAGGATATGTCTGTTGTTTTATTCTTGAACTAAAATGGCTTTGCAAGCCTCACAGTTCAAAAATAATCCTTATTTATCTCATGCGAGGTCTTTGTAGCACCTCACTTCATACTCACTTGGAAATAAAGCAGTTTTAGCTCCCTGTAAGTCGTCTGATTGGCTGCCCCTCACAAACAAAAGATGGGAACAGTAGCATTATCTGTTTTTTTTCTCCCCTTGCCCAGGCTCTGCTCTCCTCTGAGCCCAAGTCGTCCAGCTGCAGCCTGTTGAAGATGACCATGAGAGAGCTGATCGCTTTGGCCATGCCTTCTGCTGACAAGACCACTGACACCTCCACCGTGCCTCAGGTTTCGCCACCTAGCAGCTTCATTAATCATAATTCTAGTCAGATCTAGCCTCACAGATCAGGAAGTGAGATTTCCTGAACACAATTATTTGTAAAAGCACAAAGGGTCATTTTTACAATCGCCTTAATGTTTCTGACACTGTATTCAAGGTGGGATTTTGTCTGTGGCTCACAGGTCCATGCTCTGAACATCCTCAGAGCTCTGTACAGGGACACTCGTCTGGGGGAAAACATTGTTCCTTTCGTCTCAGAAGGGATGCAGGCTGCAGTGCTGGGCTTCACCTCTCCTGTCTGGGCAGTGAGTCTTTACTTCCTGTTTTTTTTACCTCGGTTTATTGTAATCTGAACATCACAACAAACCAACGTTTGGAGTGGATACTTGATCGGCGGTTACTCACTAACCCATGGTGATAATTAGCTTTTATAATTTCTCTCTCTTCGTATTCCAATTTCTTAACCTCCATTTGTTTTGTTTCCCAGGTGAGGAACTCCTCTACTCTTCTTTTCAGCACTCTGATCACAAGGATTTTTGGCGTGAAGAAAGGGAAGGACGAACACTCGAAAAAGAACAGGTTTGCTTCTCGTGCCTCTCTTGAACTCACCTACCGCGTTCAAGTTTCAAGCTGTGTGCATCAGTGCGTAAAAGGTCAAGAAAGTCACAAATACTAGTTTAAAAAAAGCTCTTGTTTAATAGTGAGCATTATTTGCCTTAAAACAAACAAACAAACAAACAAAAAAATCACATAATTCAACAGACATAAAATGAGAAATCTAAATCAAAATTTGCAGTTCAATGAATGTAATTAATCCATATTTGTACTACAACAACAGCAACAATCAAACACTCATTGCATGTTCTTAAAGCCGAGATAATAAAAAAGGCCCAGTTAAACACTGGTTATGTTACCATTTCACCACAAAGGGGTGCTGTTGTAACACCACCCAGGCTGAAGGGCAGTTTTTCACTCTGCTCAGGCTTCCTGACTGCAGGATGCAGGTTTTCCTCTGTTCCTGGAATATCAACAAGGAAATGACATGGGAAGCACAGAATAGGGGGAAGTCTTGCTTGGAAATGTAATCTGCAACTAAATTACTGTTACTGATATAAGATGAAAAGTAATTGAGTCTTCCCAGATGAGGTCAACAACATAACAAAGGCACTTTTTGCACCTCGGGGTGCTTTTATGTTTCTTACATAGAGAACAGAGTGGCTGATGATTAAAAACGGAGAGAATGGAATCACTAAATCTGAAACTTGTTTTATGAAACTTGAATTCTTAAAAATTTAAGAGCTCGATCACATTTTTCCTCTCAGCATTTTCTGAGTGTTCCAGCTGTTCTTCCTCTCCACAGTCACCAAGTGCTGATCATGTCTGTTCTTTCTTTAATATTGTAGGATCTAACTTATAAACCCATTTTTTGCTGTGAACTGCTCTAGAATAAATAAAACTAAGCAGAGCTGAAAGAAATCCTGGTTTCAGACCTGGCGTTTAAGAAGACTTTCTTTAAAAGCAGTAAGACGGTAATGTTTAGACTAGCAGTCCCAACAGCGCAGGTGATGAAGAGCTGTCAGATGCTGAGTGTTGGATACGATGATATATTTATGTGCTGATCTACAACCGTCACCCAGAATGGGTTTTGGCTTGTGTAAATGACAAATGTATCTGTTCGTTATTTTAGCTGGAAGGTTATCAGCTCTGCTGTCAGAGATTGTTTGAAAGATTGTGGATTGTTCCTGAGGTTTCAGAAAGAGTCTTAAATTCTAACAGGCTCCCAAAGCCTTGTCAAACCACCATCCAAGTGTTTGGAAACCTTGAAATTAAAAATTATAGCCTGTGCTTATCGAGTGTTCTTTCTAAGTATGTTTTATAATCTGTTGTTTGTAACTCGAGCGCAGCATAACTGGATAGTTGGTTTGCGATCTTCCATTTTGTCTCTGACTCTCACAGCGCGCACAGATACCTGCTAATAAGTGCTGCGTAACACAAACCTCTGAGGTTGTCCTGTACAGCTTGAACTGTCACGCAGATGGCCTCCCTCTAGAATACTTTGGTGTTCAGAGGAGTTCGTGAGGAGCTCTCTGGTTGCCCAGATCTTGGATGTGCTGCACACTCACGACCTTTGATTGCAAGGCAGTTGAACAGGTTGCCTGATAGGAGGCACAAGTCGAGGGGACTCGACTCCACTGGCTGCCAGCTCGATGCATTGCTGTAAAGCTGTACGGCTGCAGAATATCTGGCTGGTGTGAAGGTTGGTTTTCAACCTTTTCAGTGGTAATTACAGGGTGAAAGCTGATAAGACCACTCACTAATGATGGGAGCACTGCTAGGCTCTCTGCATCCCAGCTCCCACTTTGTTCTTTATGTGCTTTGTTTTTGTGAATAAAAACATTGTATGAAATCAGCCTGTCAGCACAAGAATATTAGCATGCTGTCAGAACCACAGAGCTGTTGGCCCGACTGTAGATTCTGCGTCTTGTTAAGCGTTACTTCACTGCCCTTACCCTAACCCTGCAGAGTGGCCTTGCACAGCTTGTAACCATAATATATAAATCCCTCACATGACTGATAGCTTATTTTCCTCCGGTGAAACTGATACAGGGATCCGTCTAATATTGCGAGCACATTAAAACAAACATGGTAATAATGTGCATGTACTGTTTGGCTGCCTGTGCGACACTTATGTTCAGCGTCTATATTCAGCTCAGAAGAGATTTGTTACTGCGTGTATAATCTGGGGTAAAGTTTCCCAGGGTTTTGGGTTGTGCTCAGTCTGGTTCCCTGTGCTGTGTTTCTACTGTCTGCCTCACTGAAGCCCGCTGAACGTTAACCAAGCCAACAATGCTGCACTTTATCTTGTCTGCTTTTACTTGTGTTTTCAGTCTGTTGTCGAGCCCTCTGCATAGCTCTCTGTTAGTCACTTCCTCCTTATCTGTTTATTCTCGTTATTAATGCAGGGAGTTATTTTTATGTGCCTGTGGGAGTGTGAGCGTGCTACAGTTAATAACAAATAATAAGTGATGGTGAAGAGAATTAGCTTTTGAACCCTGAATCTTTCATTTGACTTTCAGAGGTACATGTTTGTGTTTTAGTGTTCTTGGTCTCTGATTATTTTTCTCTTCTTGCAGCATGTTAGTCATAATACGCGCGGGTCACACTGGATGGAGCTGTGCGTGTGAGCACCAGAAAGCTGCGTCTCATTTATAATTGTGTCTCTGAGAATTTGAGTGTTTTCCAAAGTCTGGTCTGTGTTATTACCGTGATTTTATGGTTGTGAAGTGTGGCAGCAGAAAATGTATTGTGACAGCTTGTCCAGTCTAATATTCG